CACTTACTATCGCTCTGGCTTTAGAAAGATGCTATTTTTAAACACTTGGCTCTCACCAGTGTGAGGAGATGCCTACCTAGAGGGAAATGAAAAGTGTGACCAACTGGGGCACCAGTAAATTGCCATCAACCTTTTATTTTTATTCTGGCCCTTATACTTCTTGAGTCTGAATTAAGGAAAAAGTATCTCGTGCAAAGGAAGATGTTTCCTGTAACTCTGCCCTGGCACTTTTTCCATGGAAGTGGATTTCAGAAAGACATGTATTAATTTAGTGGCTTTCAGATATGTCTGAGTCACAGGGCCCTTGGAATTCATGACCACCACACACATTATGAACTGTTTGATAAGCCAAAAATAAAATTCATTTTCTTCAGAGAAACTGAAATTTTATTATGCTGGCTAGTAAACCAGTTCAAAGAGTGTTTTGAGACCTAATTTGGAGGAATATTTTTTCCACTTGAAAAATCTTTTTTTCTGTCATCTGAGACTTTTATTCAATACAAGGGATATTTGAACAATTTGAGCCAGGTTAGAGAATGCCCCTCTACCGTTAAGAGCTTAGGTTATAACAAATTTTTTATGACTATTATTTGGGCGGTTACACCTGACAGTGTGCAATGCTCAGGGCTTATTCCTGATTGCACTCAGGTATTACTCCTGATGGGCTGTGGGTACCATATGTGGTACCAGGGGATCAAACTCAATCAGCTACGTGCAACCCGGGTGCTCTGCATACGGTATTATCGCTCTAGCTCAGTCCCAACAAATTTAATAAAAGACCTTACTCTTATATGTGTAAGAAAGGTTTTCTTTCTGTGCTTGGCACAATTTTATGTTAAACTCTTCAAATTCTTTTGTTTTGTTTTTGGAGTCACACCCCCTTGTGCTGGGGGTTAATTCTGTTTCTTTACTTAGGGATCACCCTTGTCAGAATTCAGGGAACCATATGGGATGTTGGGGTTTGAACCCGGATCAGACTTGTACAAGGCAAGCACCCTACCCACTCTGCTTTCTTTCTGCCCCCCGATACCCTTGGATTCTTACACTCTTAACTCATGTGGGGTTCTGTAAATTCTGAAATCTTTCTTTTGTTGTACCTAACATTCAAGATAGTTTTATTTCTTTGGTTGCTTTCCTGGATTCATGGAGAATCTTTGAGACTATTTTTCTTGATCACAGTGATGGCTAAACCATGGACTGGTCAAACCAGAATCCTCTGGGAGATTTCTAGACCACCCTAGTCTCTACCCCATCCTGCACCTGCTTGGCTAAAATCATCGGGAGATCTCCTACATGGGGGATTTAAACCTCCTCCATTCAAAGATGTACAGTGCGGATTGATAATCAACTAAATTGTAAAACTACTCTGAGGTATATGTAAATGGGGGAGGAAAGAAAGGCAGGGAGATGTTGACTAAAGTCAGAACCCTCTGGAACCAAGATGAATCTAAGTTGGGAACCTCAGGGCAAGATAATGTCGGCTGCTACAAAAGTAAGATTAAAGGACATAGAAGATAACCAATATGCGTTGTTTGCAGACAAGAGTGGGTTTTTTTTTTTAATTATTTGTTCTTAGTTTGTTAAAGTGGAGGAGACGTGAGAAAAAGAGAAGGAAAAAAGGTAACGATAAAAACATAATAAGTGTGGTGGAGTTCTGTCCACTTAGCTAGAAGAGAATTGGGCCTTGATAGAAAATTGAAGCTGTATGCCCAGTGACACATTTGCGCATTTACAGAAATTTGGTCTCTAGTCCTCTGATCTCGGAATTAGAGAGAATAACTGCATCTTGGGGTGTGTAATAGTTGAAGTAGTTAGAAGCATTGAGACTTAGGTTTTCAGGGCCATGGAGATGACTCAAAAGCCTGGAACACCCACTTTGCATGCAGGAGCCCAGGTCCAACCCCTAGTACTGTGTGGTACCTCAGGTCTGCTGAGAGTAGTTCCCAACCACTGTTGGTGTGACCCCACCCCACCCCCAACAGTCCCCTCAAAAAAAATATTTTTTTCCTCTTCTAAAAAGACCTGCATCTATTTGTTATTCATGGATACTACAGCAAATCAAAAACAAAGTTGTTCATGGATTGCCCTGAAATGAGCAAGTTACAATACCGGAATATATGATACCAGCTCTGAACTCAGCTGTCTTGCCGAGGTGTTCACTCTAAGAAGGAGTCATTCCTCTTTTCAGACCCTTCCTCATTTTTCTGTAAAGATCATGTATTTGTGTTTGAATTTAAATGCTGGGGCAAGCTTGAAGGCTCCCAAGAGATTGCAAAGAGGGGTCAGTGTGGTGGTATAGCGGGCAGGGCACTTGCCTTGCACGTGGCTGACCAGGCTTCGATTGCCAGCATCCCATATGGTCCCCCAAGCCCCACCAGGAGTAATTTCCAAGTGCAGAGCCATGAGTGACCCCTGAGTATTGCCAGGTGTGGCCCAAAAACAACAGAAAAAGAAATTGCAGACAATTTGTTGTTGTTGTTGTGTTCTGTGCTGTGTGTCGGTGCCATATAACAGCTTGCTGAGTCCATTTAGACCTTTCTTTTATGGGAGGACATCCCCTCTTAGTGGGACATTCTGAAACCTGGTGTGGAAGGACAGAGTACAGTGCATGGATGTGCAGGTGGGGACAGCTGTGTCTCCCAGACATGACCTTTACCCTGGAGCTCTGTCTTCTCTAGTTATCACAGAGCTCTTTTGCTCCAGGGAAAATCCATTATACAACAGCATATGGGACACTGGAGTGTGATTTGCTTCAATACACACTGCTTGTGGGGCGGGGAATGTGGTGCCTTTAACTCCACATGTAGCTGGAGACAGAACAAACTGTCTGCCTACCTCCTTGCAGGCAAAACAAAAACAAAAAAAATAAAATAAAATAACCCTGATATGGTCTTTCCGAATCACTTGACTTTAATAAATGGCCAATAAAGTGTCTTTTAAAAAAAACAGCTATATAATTAAGAAGTAAGGCATAGTAATTAAGGTCTTGCAATAGAAAAACAATTGGTTTGGCTCTTGGCAAGATTTTTTTTTTCCTTCTACTACGTAAAGTGACCTGAATGTGTATCATTTATTTTAGGCCCTTTCTGGGAGGCTGCTAAACACTTGATAGTCCACGGTCCCAACAAGAGCTGCTTTCCTTAGGTGTATTAAGATCAAGTGGTTAATGTTCTAGTTCACTTTTGTAGCTCATAACATTTTTATTTTGTTTTTTTTTTTCATTCTGAAAATCTGCAAACCCACGGGGGGGAGAGAGAATCCAGAATCAAAAGTTTGATAAAAAGCACACGGAAGCTTTTAGCATGAACATGATATATCTTTTTTTTTCACCTGGATTTCCATCTCTTTACATTCAATAGAAGATTCATATGCCTCCCAGGCCCTAATATATTTTGCACTTAAGTCATTAGGCCATCTTCCATGATTTCCAAATTTTCGTAAAGGCAACTAAATGAGTGGTTAAAAAAATTAAAGAAAAAAAAAAACCAGTGTAAATGCCAAACGATTCATAGAAAGAAATCCTTTTTCTGCGGTGTCTGTCTGAGAACCATGTGACATGTGTGCCAGGAGAGGGAGTGATTGATGTCCAGAAGCCCTCCTGGTACAGAGCAGCAGTCCAAACTGCGTCCAGATAAATGCCCCAATGTCCGTTGGGTCAGAGCTCCTTTCCACTAAAAATAGGCACCGCTTCAAGACAAATACTGCTCTGTGACATTTTGGACTCTGGTTCTAGCTGCTGTGAGCACAGCTGAGGTGGCGTTATCTGTACAACTTAGAGGCCTGACTTTCATTGAAATCTCCTTTAGTTCATAGAGTTGCTTGATGTTCCTAAGGTCCCCCACCCCCCGTCACTGGCTTTATAGCATCTTGGTATACCCACCAGAATCATCCCAGGATATTTGGGAGTGGAATAGCAAAGACAGCTCCGAAGAGAAGTTGAAATATAAACTCCCAGACAAAAGTGAAGCAAAGCTGAGGTGTGCCTGGCTGGGTCTCAGGGCGGGGGGGTGGGGGGGTCTCCGGCGGAGTGGGACAGATCCCAGTGACACGGGGCACCAGAAGGATGCCGCCTGCTTGGCTAAAAGACCCAGCAGTAGGGCCAGCTATTGTGAAGCCCCTCTGCCAGATGAACAGGGACCCTTCTCTGGTCACAATAGCCATTCATGCCGAGCAGCCTCATTAAATATTCAGCCTGTGCTTCCGGCAGCTCATTAGGGCCGCAATGAGTGGTGACGTTGAGTGCTGGGAAGCTGCGGGCTGGCCCGCATCAGGAGGCAGAGGCTGAGCGAGCTGCTGATGGCTTTTCTGTTCCCTGCCTGTCCTATGATGACCAGTGTTTGCTCCCTGCTTTGCCTGAAGTACAGGTAATAACCAAACCAAACTGAAAGCAAAGGAGGTAACACTGGAGGGTCCGTGTCATCTCAGATGTTGTCTGGCAAGGGCCTTGGATCTTGAGTGTCTGCCCCCTTCAGTGCCCTCTGACCCTCCTTCAAGAGCAGTCTACAGTTTGGGGATTGAGGGGCGGTGGGGCGTTGCTCAGAGCTAACAATGTGGTGCTATTGTGGAGTTGGGCTCCCAGGACTGCTCTGGGGAGGGGTTGAGGTATAGCTTTGAACTTGGTTTTGGGTGTTTAGCAATGAAGTCCTCTGTAACAGGTCAAGTTGAGAAATACTGCAGACTACTCCTCGGGGTTTGTGCTGCAAGTTTATTCAGTCCATGACAAGTTTTCAGAGGTTTGAGTAGTGCCTTACCATGCCTTTCCCTTTTGATTCTCTGGAAAGGTGTGGCATCATCATATATGTATGTTCTGGAGCTATTTGTGTTGAACTCAGTAGGCTGCGTGTTGTCCCTCCTGCATCTTGTCACTTTTCTGTGGATGAGCACCGTGCAGTGGGTTGGAAAAAACTGGGAAAGTCTGTGAAGACTTGAAAAATGGTGAACTCCGACAAAGTATAGTTTGCTGGTCTCACTGTTTTGCCTGTTTTCTCTTTCTTGCACAGAAAATGTTTTCAGACAGCTCATTTCTATGTGGAAGATAGCAGCTCACCTCGGGTGGTCCCTAATGAAAGTATTCCTATTATTCCTATTCCGGGTAAGTCAGACGCTGCGCTTATTTACAATGGACTAATTGTGTTCCCCTTTTGTGCTCAGTTTTATGTGACAGCCATGACAAAATATTATTTTTATAGTCTCTTAAAGCTTTCCCAGTCTGAGACTTAAATTTCACAGAATCTTCGCTCCTTTGCATATCTGCAAAATAATGAAATCCTGTTAAAGAGAAACAAATAATTGAGTTAATGGTTATAAATTCATGTGCAAGGGAAAGACATAACAGTGAAATAAAAGGTCAGCCATGCATATCTGTAATCCATATGGATTATGTAGCATTTCAGTTCTTACCCCGTGCTGACAAATGTTTTAAAAATTACAGTTTGCTATAGATTCAAAAGTGAATTTCTTCCTAAGATCTTTTATCTGAAAATAATTTCTTTGTGCTGCAACTTTAGTTCTTGGGAGATATAGTTGGAAGTAAAGGAACATATTCTTGATCTGGTGAATATTTCTTTTGTCCTCTGCTAAAAAAAAAAAAGAGAGAGATAGAACACCCAGTATTGGGGGGAGGGCTTGGTGACACAGTAGTAAATCTTAGCAAAAGTCATAGACATATAAGATAAAAAAGATGTGGAAGTACAGTGGCATTTAGTCATGGTAGATAGATGTCACTCCAACAATTTTGATTTTATTTTTTTTTACTTTTTTGCCAGTTTGAAACTTTCTTCCTTTGGGTTCCATCAAGTAACTAAATACGTATCTCAGATTTAGCATATAGTCATCGCCTCGCCATGAATTTTTTGCAGGCATATTTCTGTTCTAACTCCTCCCTCACAAACAAATCTGCAGCTCCCCGCACTGTCCTCCTCATTCTTTAAAACAGCCTTCATCACCTCACATACCATTTGTTTTACTTGTTTGTAGATGTCTCACTAAAATAAGAGCTTCAGAAAGAAAAATAGGGACTGGAGGAATAGTAGAGTGGGTCGGGCACTTGCCTTTCATGTGCCCAACCCAGGCTTGATTCCTGGCACCTCATTTGGTCCTCTGAGCATTGCCAGAAGTGATCACTGTGCAGAGGCAGGCGTAAGCCCTGAGTGCCACGGGGTGTGGTTCACAAACATACAAAACCCCGATAAATAAGTAAAGGAATGTCTGTGTCTCCTTGGTGCTAGTTTAGTGCCTGGTAAGTAGCAAGTATTCAACTCTACAACCCTATAAATGTCTTCCAGTTCTGAGCTTCACTACTGTGGTTTTTAAAGAAATGTAAGTCATTCTCTGAGAACCAGTAAGGAATACTTAATTTGTTGGCAAATTGTTACTAGTCATAGCATGGTTAGGGACTGTATCGCTCCAAGTGAAGTCATTAAACAGTGCTAGGATTCTCATTCTCACCACTCAGGTTATCTCTCTAGAGAAGCTTCTTGAAGTTCTGCCATAAAAAGTAAGGTAGAAGGGCTGGAGTGATAGCATAGCAGGTAGGGCGTTTGCCTTGCATGTGGCCAACCCAAGTTCGATTCTCAGCATCCCATATGATCCCCTGAGTGTATGAGCCAGGAGTAACCCCTGTGCATCGCTGGGTGTGACTCAAAAAGCAAAAAATAATAATAATAATAAGGTAGAGGAGCCAGAGAGAGTGCCCAGAGTGTTAGAACACATGCTTTTCCTGCAGATGGCCAGGGTTCAATCCCTTGCACTGAGCACTGAGCTGGGAGTAATCTCTGAACCCCACTGGGTATGCCCCCAAACCAAAAAAAGCAGGGGTCACAAAGAAATAAGGTAGCATAAAAATCTCATTGGACTGTTTTATGCTTGCTAAATGATTTTCACACTAATGGCAAAAGTTTTGTGTGAACTTCTATCCTCTACTTGCTCTCCTCCTTTATTTTGGGTGGAGGAAAAATTTGACTTGATTTAATGAGGAGACAGATGGCAATCACCAGTTTTCCATTTCCATAGAACAAGTAGTTTTGTCAGATCTACGGGACTTGTGCAATAGGCTATATAGAGCTGTTTTCTTCCAGCATCACCTAGAATAAGTGTTGACCTCAAGAAATGCTTAGGCCAGAGTGAAAGTACAGTGGATAGGATGCTTGCATTACATCTGACCTACCTGGGTTCAAGCCCCGCCACCCCAGGAGGCCCCTAATTTCCTCCAGGGGAGATCCCTGAGCACAGAACCCAGAGTAAACTCTGAGCACTGAGCACCACTGGGTGGGTATGGCTCCAAAAAAAAAAAGAAGAAGAAGAAGAAGAAAAAAGAACAAAAAAAGAAAATGCTTCAGAACCTTTCTCTCTTCTGATTAGATTCATCTATCAACACAACTGTTGGGTATGTTGCAGCTATTCACATTTAAAAGGGGGCATAATGTGAAATACTTTTTGTCAGTTTCTTGGGGTTCTACACCTGACTTTGCTCAGGGACTACTCCCAACTGTGTACACAGGGATTACTTCTGACATATGCTTGGAGGGTCCTGAGATGCTAGAGACTAAACTCAGACCTCCTCCATCAAAGCATTAAGCTATTTCTGCGGCCCATGAGGCAATTGTTGAGCTGTTATTCAGGTGTTATTTTATTACATTTATTTTCCCACTGGACCAAAAATCAAAAACCTAGGATCTTGCCCTGGCATCTACCATGAAACAAACCTTTGTTCACTGCCATGACCTCTCTGAGCCTTAGTTCCCAGAATTTTACTGAGTAAGAGAATGTCTGCCTTCCTCTAAGAATCATATCAAGCACTCTGGGGGTCTGAAGTGGTAACTGTTGGAATCATGCATTCCGAATGCTGGCAATCCTTATCCCAGCAGCCACAGACACCAGGCAGTTTTTGGTTCTCAGGTTAACTATGGCCTCTTGTTATCAGACACTTTCATTGCAGTGACCTGTGGCTCACTGCAACTAGTCACTGAGTTGGGTTTGAGAATTTTCAATCCACCAGAACCCTGTGCTGACTTGGAAAGTTTCTTGTTTCATTTTTAATCCATTGACTTAATTACCAAGTTAAGCATGCACAACTCAGAGGCGTTTCTTTAAATATGTTATTTTCTTTTTAAATGTGAAATCCTCAACTGTGAAATTACTACAACTGTATCTGTTCATTGAAAGGAAAACGCTGTAAAATTCTTCACTGAGAACTCCATGGTATTCAGTTGACCTCACCTGGCATCATAGCTGGGTCCCTGAGAAGTTTTAGCATGTTTATAAAGATAATTTCTTTAAATATTTCAAGGAAGTGGGGCATCATCTTAACTGGAGGGGATGCCCAGATAAACAAATTTACTTCATCCCATAACAGGGAACTGTTAAGTTTTTGTTTTGATGCCACACTGGGCTAGGCTCAGGGCTTACTTATGGCTCTGTGGCCAGGGATCACTCCAGTGAGGTGCAGGGTACCAAATGGGGCTTCAGGTGATTAAATCCAGTGTGGCTGAGTGCAGAGCAAATGCCTCTCTTGCTGTGCCATCTCTCTCTCCAACCCTGGGAGCTGTTACCCTATGTGACCTTTTTAAAAAAGCATTTACAGCTTGTTCACAATCTCCTCTTAAACAAAAACACAAAATATTCAATTCATTTCACTTATAAAATAGTTTATAATTTTTAAAATATGTTTTGGGCTGGAGCCATAGCACAGCAGGTAGGGCATTTGCCTTGCACGCGGCCGACCCAGCCGACCCGAGTTCGATTCCTCTGCCTTCGATTCCTCCACCCCTCTTGGGGAGCCTGGCAAGCTACCAAGAGTATCTCGCCCACATGGCAAAGCTTAGCAAGATGCCCATGACGTATTCAGTATGCCAGACACAGTATCAAGTCTCACAGTGTTACTGGGCCCGCTGGAGCAAATCGATGAACAACGCGGGAGTACAGTGATAGTGACAATGAAAGTATGTTTTAAATCCCTTTTTTTCCTTAAATTTTCCAGGGGGTTCTTCTGATTATTACATCATAACTTCAAGAAGAAAGTTCAGGGGCTGGAAAGATAGCACAGCGGGTAGGGCGTTTGCCTTGCCGACCCGAGTTCAATTCCCAGCATCCCATATGGTCCCCTGAGCACCACCAGGAGTAACTCCTGAGTGCAGAGCCAGGAGTAACCCCTGTGCATTACCGGGTGTGACCCAAAAAGCAAAAAAAAAAAAAAAAAAAGGAAGAAAGTTCAGTATCAAAAAACCAGAAAATTTTAATAAAATTGTAATGTACTGTACTATTAAAGTTTCCAAGAGAACTTTAATGGAGAGTTTGGGGGGGTTATTTTAAATGATTGCCTGAGGAGTTAATCTCCTCTTACTCCCCAAAATAGGGCATTTCAAGATCCTGGAGTGGTTATTTTACCCACTAGATCCCAGTTATTCTTTGTTCAAAACATTGTCTGATCACCAGACAATCTTAAACCCAAAATTCATCGACTTTTAAATTATTTAACCTTCTAATTTTCTATATTAAAAAAATTTCCTAAATGAGTATGATGACATCTCAGTATCTGTATTACTTACCATCATGCCCAAAAGGTGAAAGAGGAGGGGGAAGGAGGAGGGGCAAGTGCCTGCCATAGAGACAGTCTGGGGGGAAAGGGGAGGGTAAGGGGAGCTGGGGACATTGGTGGTGGGAAATGTACACTGATGGAGGGATGGGTGTTGGAACACTGTATGACTGAAACCCAACCAGGCACAGCTTTGTAACTGCATCTCAGGGTGATTCAGTTAAAAAAAAATTATTTCCAGATAACAACCAGCAAACAATCATTTTACTGCTTAAAATAATGTACAATAGTGTTGAGATTGGAAATTCCATTCCCAAACTCTTATAAAAATAGCACCCTTAAGGGCTGGGGAGAGAGTACAGGGGCGGGTAGGACGCTTGCCTTGAACACTACCGACTTGAGATCCATGTGGTCCCAGAAGCTCCCTGGGACATCCACATGATCCCCCGAGCCCTGCCAGGAGTGATCCTGAGCACAGAACCAGAAGAAAGTCCTGAACAACGACAGCTGTGGCCCCCCAAAATAAAACAAAGCGGAAAAAATAATAGAGCTCCTGATTC